GAAATGATATAAAAACCTGGGTGTTTATAAATTATTTTTGCAGGATGGGTATCAGACGCGAAACTAAAATAATCTTAACTGGAAGGGATCTTGCTAAGATGATTTTTTGTAACTCTTTTTTTTTATTTCCAATGGTTGCTATTATGAGCATAACACTTATGCTCACCAGTTTCGTGTATTAGTAGTATTTATTCATTGTGATGTTACCTGTATACCTCTTGGTCTATAACACCGCGATGTCTGACTGCCCATGGTCTAATATAACGAAAGTGCATATATCGTTTTAATTACATACATTATTCGTTAGTGTCCATAGAAATAATATGGGACCCTTATCAACTATCTATAATTTCAATAATCAATAAATAGTATGATATTTATACACATATTCAGTGACAGTGTTTAAATTTATAGAAGTATTACTTAACAGATCTATTATGATACCTTTCACAAAATGTGCACTGCAGATATGGGAACATTGAAGGTTGCCAGTTTTGTCTCATAACTGCAGTAATTCATATCGATTTTTTTTGGGGGGTCAGCTGGGAATCTGTAGAAAGATATACCAGTTTCCAAATATTGTCTATTGGTGTAGCCAAAAGCCCAACACCAGGCAGACACTAGGAGAAAACAAGATCATATGATATTATGACGTCACTATGGAAATATCTATACATATGGCTGAGAGGACATGTTTCAGAGCCCAACCAAGGAGCGACAAGAGCTAACCAGACATAAAAAACAACAACAGAAATTAGATGGATTTATAGGACGAAGTTAGTTGGAAATACTCCATCTGCCCCAAATGAGATGAGCATTTCATTATTTGAGGAAAACTGTCCACGAGTCCGTGGATTTATTGGTGAAAAATCTTGCAGAATGTTGATTGACACTGATTCACAACAGTTCGATCTAATCTGGTAATGAAACGTGGGAAATTACTTCCAACAGTGCTGATAGAAGATAGATTGATGCAAACAGCGAGTGGGCACGAAGTCCTAGTAGGAGGAAATTTTGAAGCTTCTCTACACCTCGTAACGTGTGGGTAATTGACATCAAGGAAGAGTACATTGTTGAAACTGACTTCATTTGGAAACATGGATGTGACTCGAGACTAGCTTAAAAGTTCTGACCAGGAAATCCACGCGCATTACCTGGGAATTACTACACCAGAAGTTGAACTTCCAATGGCAAAAGGAAAGGTGGTCATTGTACTGTCAAGAAGTGAAATACTCGTACCAGAAGATATTGAATACTGTGACATGTCCTGAGGAATCGATGGTTGGAAGAGCTCTCGTGAATCAGAAAAAAAAGGCATACATGACTCTACCCGAGTAAGACTTGAATCAGCTTGTGATAAAATGAAAAAGTCACTAACATGTTTAGTTGATAAGACTAGATTTTATCGAGGTGACATGAAGTGGCTAAACAATTCCAAAGTTAAGTAGTTAAGTTGGAAAGGGACATATGCTATACTGCAAAATATCAACGATGTAGTTTACAGGATCCAGAAAGACACTATGGTTGTCTTTGGAAGTACGTTGATGAGAAAATGATCAACTGGGTAATTCCATAAAATAATTTGACAGTAGAAATTCAACCTGTGGAACAGTTCAGGGTTCCAGTCAAGAGTACTTCCAGAGAATTACCAAGGATAGAGTTATCAGTGAATTTGCTCGACTACCCAACCAGAGAGAATTCCTCCAGTGACAGGACAGCAAGTGATTACAAAGGACAAGAGGCCATCACATCTGTATGTCATAACTTTCTGAAAAGAAAACCACTTAAAAGACTTGGTGAATGAACAGTTTAGTGTACTGTTTTATTTTAGCATCAACATTGTTCAAGGTGCTTCAGAATCCAGGAAGGAGATAGTGTTGTAAACTTTACTTTCAAAGTTTTAATTTAGATGTTCAATAGAGGGTGCATTATCGAAACATCAAGCAAGAAAGATCACAGATCTCTTTTGCGGCCAAAATTAGCCGCCCATTTAATCCCTTTGTTCTGTAGCTAAGCAACCCAAACATTACGAACACACGAATCTTTGGCAATGACACACACAGGGTAATCTCTCGACATTGCAACCTTACTAACCAACGGGAATACAGAGTCACTGTTATGTGCTAAATGACCATAGGTATAGAATTCTGTTTTGTGTGGTTACATCTAAATAATTAAGACAATATTATCGGAATCAAATCAAAAACCATTTCCAAAGTACAATATATGATTTCTACCACAACTACTTATGTTCATGCGATTTTTTTATAGGAAGCATGGAAACTAACTATACATATTGCATGTATATCCAAAAGTAAATATGTAACAGCATATTAGATTAAATGATAATGCTGTTAATAAAATTGTAACTGTACCTAATATATGAATTATATGTCGTTTGATCAAGAAAAAAATATCAAGATCTTAGACAAAGATGGCGATTATCCAAAAACACAAGGTGTTTATACAAAAAACAAATGTTGTGTACAGAGATATATATATATTTCGTATATAGTCAGTCCATGTGTTTACACTTCTTTACATTAAGCCCCCCCCCCCCAGTAGCACAGTGTTATGTCCGCGCACTTACAACATTAGAAATCGGGTTTCGATACCCGTGGTGACCAGAGCACAAATAGTCCATTGTGTAGCTTTGTGCTTAATTACAAACAAATAAATTATTTACATTAAATCTAGATACAACAAATCTAATTCTGGTTAATACGTTTTTCTTTCATTCATGACAAACTACATAATACAATTTATGCATTGTTTACAGAATTTATCTATTTAAAACACACATACCCTTCTCCCATATATAGCATTCCACTTAACTAATGCTGCATATGTGAAAACAATCTTTAGGCTTTGGCTCATATGGCACAACACACACTTCGTATGCGGAAGGTTGAGGATTCAATCCCGTCTATTGCAATGCCTTTTCCTAAACAGTGTTTCAGTAGCCAAATAATTTTAGTACATAAATCGAACGCGAAGCGCGAGTTTATCTATCCCCTAGTTTGATGGTGAATCGCGAGAAGAAGAAGAAAAAAGCGATTTCTTTCATCACGTTAAAGGCTTTAAGTTCAGTCTGTCATTTTGAACGTTTTATGTCATATATTCGAACCACATTAAACTGACCAAATGAAATAACATTTCTTGAATTTTTCTTTTGAATGTTTTAGTTCCCCGAACTGTACATTTTATATTAATTAGTTTAATATTTTACTTTAAAAAATCCTAAGGTGTTAGTATGTAGTAGTTTATATAAGAAAAAATAAATACATTGAGGGGAATTGTCTTTGTGTTTGATACTATTATACCTTGCACAATCAATAATGTTTCATTATTTTCCACCTTGTCATTTGTTAGTTAGACAAATGCGCCAAAATTAAACCGGTTAAGTAGAAAATTGCATGCTGCTAAAATAGTAGAATATTTGCTATCAGTTAGTATACAAGTGTATATGGTGACCGTTAAATGCGGGTGATAAACACACTTTTGTGTGTAATACGAACATTGTATTAGTTCGTCATTTATATATTTATTTTTTTTTCTTTAAGCTTGTTATATACATATAACAATGAGATAAGAATTTAGAATTAGAAATTACGTATTGCGATTGTCGTTATTTTATATAGTTCTTTGTAGCTGAGCCGCAATGTATAATTTGAACCATTTATGTAGATTGGAACACTGGTAGTTAAATATATCGTTGTGGATATGGTTTGTATTCTATTTTAGTCAAAATGTTACAGCACATAACTATTTATACATTTTTATTCATGATTACTATTAATTTCACTAATTATTTGATAAACATTGCATCTTAGATTTTTTTCGCAGTAATCTAATTTTTGGAAATTACGACAATTTAGTCATTTTTAGAACTTCACGATCAAGAAACTGTTTGGTATAACGCACTTAGATTAGATTAGAAAAAAGTACAAAACGTTGTTTGGTGTAAAGGTTCTGAAGACACCCGTAGCTTATTTATTATAACTTGTAAACATTTCCAAACCCACTTTCTTTAACAGGGGAGGGAAGGTTATCAAGTATAGTCTGTTAATGTATAAACAAACAGATTTCAGGTAGGTCAATCAGCTTTACAGTTACAAACTACCAAGAAAATGTCTCATTCCTGATTACAAAAAGAAAAAAGGAAGTCAAGGCAAGGCAGTGTTCCAAATGTACTTACAGGTAGATACCTCTACTCTCTGTTTTAGTAAAAAATTCAGCAAACCCAGAGTTCACTTTAAAATAGGAGTGTGTGCGCTTTAACTTGTTAGGTCAGTTAGCGTTGATCTTTCTTCGCTGTTGGAAGTATAGTCTTGGTGAATAATTATATACTGCTGTGATAGCTGTGCGTTAAAAAAATGTTAACTTTTGTAGACCTCCCTCCCGTGAGATTTTTTAAGAGGAAGTTTCATAGGAGAAAGTACAGAATTAGAAATTCAAAGGTACACTTACTTTTATTAGATAGGACGCTTTATACGCCTCTATACTTTTAAACTTAATGTTACTGGAACATTTTACTTGAAATACACGCCATGGATTGAATATGTCGATATTTTGTTGTTCTTTAACTTTATAGTTTATTGCTCCACATCATAATGTTTAATATGCATTCTTTAAGGCTTTAATGAATCGGAACATTTTTATTGTTCACTGTATTTCGCTGGTGAATCTTTGTGTAATTTTTAAAGAAGCATGGCAGATTAGTGTGGTTCCTTTGTTCTGGTTTCATTTACTGTAGTGAATATAGGTTAATTGTGATCAAAATAATTAGCATTTCTTATATTCTTTAGTAGTACTTGAATATTTGACGTGCGACACTTATCTTACAAATTCTGTGCGTTTACTTTAACTAAACGTGAATCTGGAAGGAAGTGCTTCAATAACTCAAAACTGGTTATTGACATTCACTTCAATTGACGGAGGGAATGTTCGTTGTAACTAATATAATAACTTGGTGTAAATAAAAAAATTTCATTTTTTAGATCGAAGCCCACACCCGTGACTTGGTGTTGACCAATGACCAGCTAGAAAAAGTCTCCTCTCTCCTTCTTCACGAATTTAACTGTGGTTTGGCAAAAGAAACCCATCCATTGTCGACTGTAAAAATGTTTCCTACTTACGTCCGAGACGTGCCCAATGGTTCTGGTAATATATATGTGTGTGTGTTTGTGTATGGTGTATTTTTTTTAATTATAAAAAATTCATTCGTAGATATACTGAGATGCATTCGTGTATTAAGAGAAAAACAATTTACTCTTGTTTTTGTTAGCCAGGAAAGACCAATATTAATGTATCTAAACTATTAACGCACTAAAAAAAGTACTTTTTTGATAATGGTGGTAAACACTACTTCACTAACTATCTTGGAATTAGCCTCGTCAAAAAGCGAGCAGCTCTAATATTTGGATGAAATAATTTGGTTGTTATTTAGACAACTTGGACCAAGCCCCTCACTCTTAGTATGTACGTACTCTAATCTAGGTACGTGTTTTTCCACGGTTGCTATTGATAGCTCCTGCTGTATACGTATCCTGTTTGATTTCTCAAACACTTGGATTTTTGTTCAAAATAGTAGTCCACTACTTTAACGTAATACTTTCCTAGCAGGTGCGACAGACATGTGTATACAGTCTACGTAACGTAGACGTCCAGGCGATCAAAAGAATTTCCAGCATAATACATACTGTGTTTGTCTGTCGTTAATTGTTTATGGACGTGTTCTCTAGCAGTCAGTAACTTATGAGGGTGGGGTGAGTTCACAAGTAGAAAAAGACCACAAGACGTAGAAAAATATTGAAAAACATTGTTAAAACGCACGTCTATAATAAAACTTTTATTATTACTTGCAACGTTTCGGGCACAAGCTCTTTGTCTGCCCGAAACGTTCCAAGTAATAACAATAATGATAAAAAAAAAGAGAGAGAGAAGGTGTGTTTCTTGACGTAAATATTCTAGACTGATTACGTAGTTTATGTATGTTGTAGTACGTGGTTAAAACCTCGTTGCTTTGCTATCGGAAAACCAAAAGTTGCATCATCATTTCGAAATACTTGTCATAACTTGCGCCTACTCGATTTAAATCGCTGAACCATCTTTACTTCATACTAAGTAATTCTTATCTTCAACGAAATTAGACATTTTACCCGCTTCAGTAATATAAACTTGTAGATATTGTAGGGTTCAGATATAGTTATTCGTGTTCTCCATGTAATATGTCCCCGACAGTTCGTAAATGTTTTGGAAATTTGTATTTTCAGAAATGAAAAATCCTTGAATTAGTTTCGTCAATAACTAAGAAAAATTCTGTAGAACTAAAATATTTCATTAATATACTTTAAACTCGTACTTGTTTATCTACTGTTCAAAATTGTGTAATAACTTACTCAACAGAACCGCTAATAATAATGATGATGATGATAAAGTATATAACTAATTGACACACACACACACTGTCGACATGTTAGAGGACACCCCTGTAAATATTATCACATTGTGCAATCTATTCGATTGTTAATCCTGTTGTCGCGCAGATGCCATGTTTAACATAATATAATGTTTAAACATTAACTTTAGAATGATACTTGTGTACGAAAGGACATTATTAATTCAACAACAATTTAATTGTCACAAACAGTTTTGTCACGTTGAACATACTGCATGTTTCTGAAGAAGACAGATCAGTGTTCTGTTAAAACGTACGTTCTATAAATGGATAAAATATTTTGCTTATAAATTATTATACGTCAGTATATTGTTGTAGTGATGAAACTGCCTTTCATGAATAAAGACTTGATGTAAGCTGACAAGATCGGATACGTTGGCGGTGGGCAGAGGCATCGCTAGGTAACTAAAGGATTAGGGGTTCGAGCCCCTAATCGCTGCAATGTTCGGCGTTCTAGTACGATATCGATCATGGTTTTCAAGACAACAACTGAGGAGTCTTGACACAGTCAAATAAAATTGAGGCACGGTCCCCATGTCCCAGCGCCTAGCGATGCTTCTGATGGTGGGAAGAGTCGTTATTTTACTATTCCTCCTGATCAAATAGGCATTGCATTGATTATTGTCTTGTGGTGTTAACTGATAATGATGTGACATTAAGCTTGAACAAAAGTAAAGTTTGTATGGCTGCTAGTGTTTGAGTGGTAAACTTTCGATTTTGAGCATTTTGATTGTTTAGAGAATGTTGAAATAATACAATAGAACTATAATGTATGAAACAATATTGTGAAATGAAGATAAACTAATTATACATGTACTTTGCATAAATAACATTTCAAACTCAAGTTTTTAGTTGCATAACAGCGACTGTATAATTTAATCGTGTGCTTTTTCATTGCCGAGTAAAACTTGATTCTCCTAGTGCTTGTTAGTTAGAATAAAAGCACGTTTTTCTAGGATAGATAGATGTAAGATAGGATTACTTTTATTATAGTCATCACGTGTGTGTTAATTTAAAAATACCATTGTGATATTGGATAAAGTACATTTTTCTAGGATAGATAGATGTAAGATAGGATTACTTTTCTTATAGTCATCACGTGTGTGTTAATTTAAAAATACCATTGTGATATTGGATAAAGTACATTTTTCTAGGATAGATAGATGTAAGATAGGATTACTTTTCTTATAGTCATCACGTGTGTATTAATTTAAAAATACCATTGTGATATTGGATAAAGTATAGAATAAACAAGTTAATTTTTTTTTCTCCTTAGAACAAGGCAAGTTTCTTGCTCTGGATCTCGGCGGAACTAACTTCAGAGTGTTGTTAATCGACCTGGATGGAGATAAATTTCAAATGGAAAATATTATTTATCCTATCCCACAGAGGATTATGCTGGGCACTGGCGAAGAAGTAATTTTAGTTTTGTTTTTCTTGCTGATAATAAATTTCCATTCTTTTTACATAGTGCACCTTAAGACATGTAAAAACTCAATAGAAAATGTGAACAAACTTAAGTAATGACGCGGGTAGATAAAAGTGCATCAAACACTGTCTGTCCTCTTCTTAATTTGGGAAATGATTTATCAATCAATTTGACTTTTCACTATTCCAATATGTTAAAGATTCTACTAACATTGAGTTTATCGCCTCGCGCTTCTTTGAAATGCCTTTAAAATATCTATCTTTTCCAGAATAATTGCTACACAACCTTCTGACTACAAAGGGCATTTAAAATATCTATCTCTTCCAGAATAATTGCTACACAACCTTCTGACGACAAAGGGCATTTAAAATATCTATCTCTTCCAGAATAATTGCTACACAACCTTCTGACGACAAAGGGCATTTAAAATATCTATCTCTTCCAGAATAATTCCTATACAACCTTCTGACGACAAAGGGCATTTAAAATATCTCTCTTCCAGAATAATTCCTAAAAAACCTTCTGACTACGAAGGGCATTTAAAATATCTATCTTTTCCAGAATAATTCCTACACAACCTTCTGACTACGAAGGGCTGTCTTGCAGTTTAGGACATTTTCTTTTGTTAATATAATTTTTTATCTCTGGCTTATTTCTTTTTGTATTGCATGTTTTAACTCCTTGTTTGCACATCCTCCTATACTATTTTCAAGTAACACTAAAAAAGTATAATATGCATGTTTCTTGCACGCTGTACCTGATCTTTTATTTGTTGTAGAACTATATCCTATCCATGATAAATCTGTAAACATTTGACTGCTCCTTCTCTAACTTTGCAGCTGTTTAATCACATTGCCGACTGCCTGGCTAACTTCATGGAGAAGAATGGAATGACCGATAAGAAGCTTCCCCTTGGATTCACATTTAGTTTTCCTTGTAAACAAGAAGGCTTGACAAAGGCTCGATTGGTTACCTGGACCAAAGGATTTAAGTGTGCTGGTGTGGAAGGCAAAGATGTCGTCCAGCTCTTACGGGAAGCAGTTTTACGAAAGGTAATTAAAACCGGTGTTCCCCATATCAAAAGGCAACATGTAACTTCTTTTGCCTCCCCCTCCTTCTTTGTAAACTTTCATGGAACCAATAATTATGTTGTCAGCAGTCAACTTTTTAATTGGATCATTGCAAGGAATTCATGAAAGTTCTTGGGTGAATTTGTTGGGGATGTGTAGTTTGGATATTTGTCTTAATGATAACTTTTGAGAATTTATGAGTGAAAGTAAAGAAGAATGTATAACAATATGTCAACCACGCTATATCTGCCATATTAAATGCCAACGAGACACTTCGCCAATACCAGGGCTTATCAGGGCGCATGGAATACAACAGACACGGTAGTGATGCTATTTACATTATCAAATTGCATGAGCAACAACTGTTAGTGTGAACTAGATTAAGTTGAAGTGTAAATTGTATCAATTTTGAGTCGTTTACAAATGGGATTTAAGGTAACATTTTAAATGTTGAGTGAAAATAACTAAACATTTTCCAAGAACGAGTGTAAATTCTCTTTATCTAAAGTTACTTAAATTCAGTCTTGTATTCTGTTCCCTTGATACAAATGGCGCATTCGAGGCAAGAAATTCTGTTCTTGAACAGGCGTGTTTTTACGTACGTAATCTCTTCCTTAATACAAAAGATTGACTGAAACAAATTGATAACTCAAAGTAAACTCTTTTAATTAAGCTCATGAGCATCATTTTATGTTTTTGTTTAAATGAAACCGAAGATATTCTTGTACTGTAAATATTTATTCTGGCGTTATTTCTGTAGAAAATTAACATCGACGTAGTAGCCGTAGTGAATGATACAACAGGCACCCTTATGTCGTGTGCTCATAAAAATAGTGAATGCCGAATTGGCGTTATTGTTGGTAAGTCCCATATTTTTAACACATTTTATCTACACACGTTTTGATACCTATACTGACCCATCAGGGTTTTTTTCTTTTTTTTAAGAATGCATTTATGTGTAGACTGTCTTATTTTATAAGAAAAATTCATAATTATTGCATAACTTCTAGTTATTTCAAAATGTTGATACAAATTGATTTTTAATCCAGATATGGATTCTTGGCAGAAAACTAAACTTTTCATAATACTGTTATAAAATTCTGTTTCCAGTGCAGTAAAATGTCCGTATTTACTTATCTTGCAGGTACAGGCACTAATGCTTGTTACATGGAGAAGTTAGAAAATGTTGAATTGTGGGATGATGATCAGGAAGACCCAAAACAGGTTATCATCAACACCGAATGGGGTGCCTTTGGTGACAATAGATGTCTTGATTTCTTGCGCACGCGTTATGACAGAGAAATTGATGAAAACTCGTTAAATGCCGGGAAACAACTGTAAGATAACAATTATCACTACTGCTACATTTATTACTTTCTCATGTTGTGTTTTTTAAACCCTTTAAACAAAAACATTTTTTCTATATGTAAAACTTCTAAAAACACACAAGTTTATAGTAAAATATTAATTAATACCAATGCTATATGAAGATTATCTAGCAAAAGTAAAGGTGTGTAGGAGTTATTATTTGCCAAATGTTGTGTCACCATGCTTGCAACTAAAAATAATATTTTCAGATTTGAGAAGATGATATCCGGTATGTACATGGGAGAGTTGGTTCGCCGGGTGTTAGTTCATTTGGTAGAAGAAGGTCTGTTATTCGGTGGCAAATGTTCTGAAAAGCTCAAAGGACCTTATGCATTCAAAACCAAATACGTGTCCATGATTGAAAGGTAAGGTAATATTATGTTACTAGCACTTTCAGTTGATCCCTGTTCGTTTGCAATATTCTCTTACATCTCAGATGTTATTGTGAAATTTATACATTTTTTTTTTTATTAATTTGTTCTAAACTACTTGCATTAGTGTATTGGTATAAGGAGGTTTTTTTTTTTTAATTACCCTTCTGGATACCCCCTCCACTTTTTTTTAACAAACCATTTTTATAAATTTAATTTTCTAAATGGATTTTTGTTACAAAAAAGTCCGAACTTTATCAGTTGATTCACGTTA